TGGGGATATGGCATCTGGGTGGCATCCTTCAGCTATATATACACATGCACACATACACGTACACACAGTTGAATGAACTAAGCCTCTTGCCTCCCTTTCCAGCTCCACCCCCAGTCTTCTGCCCTTAAACCTCCTCAGATAATATGAAGATGATGGTACTAGGAGCCAAGCTCTTTGGCTTCAACAGAGCCAAACATGCTCCCAGCAACAGTGAGGAGTGAGAACAGGACAGAAGCAGAAACAGCCCCAGGGCAAGTGTGGAGTCTCCTGAATCATCTAGTCCCCTAAGAATGCAGTAGATGACATAGTTAACAGGCATCTGTCTGTGCCCCAGGAGACATAATCTGAGTAGAGAGGCCTACTCTCATGACCTTTGGAGGGACACTGCCCATGTCTCAGTTCAGAGCCCCTCTCCCTTGTACCTTTATCCCCATCTTCCCCACTCTCCCCACCCTCTACTGTTAAAGACTTGTAACCTATAGTCTTCCTCCTCAGCTTCCACCCTAACCCTACCACCAACTGGATATATTAAACTTGTAGCCAGGCTAGATTAGACCCATTATCTCTCCCCTTCTTCATGCTGCCTACAGTCTCTCATGGGGCAGTATCTCTGTCCCACCCTCACCCCAATACCACTCAAGACAAGCATAATGCGGGAGCATTGAAGGTGTGAGATCTGGGGCTGGAGAGATGGCTCAGTGGATAAGAGCACTGACTGCTCTTCCAGAGGACCGGGGTTCAGTTCCCAGAACCACATGGTGGCTAACCACCGTCCTTAATTCCAGTTCCAGGGGGATCCAGCACCCTCCTCTGACCTCCATGGGCATTGCATGACATGGATGCACTTACATACATGCACACAAAACACTCATACACATAAAATAGAAAGAACTTTTTAAACTCTGAGATCTGAGGAGTGCTGGGGGAGAAAAGAAAGATGTCCGCACCCAGTACTACCTATGACTGATTGTCTTCTCTGGTTTCCAACCTGTCAAATAAATTCTGCCCCCTCCCTCATGTCCCTGCATCTCTGAGAGGTCCAGAGCAGCTATCACAGCAAGGAGAGTTTCATCATGGAATGTGGTATTGGAGCTGAGGTGGGTGGTTGAGTGTCCTGACATACCGTAGCTTCGTCTTGCTGACTGGTGAAACATGGATAGTAAAACCTGACTTATCAGGTTGTAATAAGGATTAGAAATAATGGCTCACTAAAAAAGACTGTGCCCAGGTATTCAGTAAGGGCATATGCATGTGCTAGGTGTCTTCGAGCTCCTCTTACAGAAGCTGGAGGTTCTCATTTGAAGGCAAACTAGGGAAGCTCTTCAGAGACCCCTTTCCCACAGACTGGAGTAATTCACTCTGTCTGGAGAGTTCTCCATAACTCTAAGGCTGCTGTGGTTCTCCCAAGTTCTACCTGGGACAGTGGCTGTCACTTCTTAAGCAGCATCCTGCTCCCAGTCTCCAGCAGGACTGTCCTGTGAGGAGGAGGAGCAAGCAAGGCTCCAACTGCAGAGGAGAGGGAGGGCGGGGCCCCTGTGACCTACCAAGGCAATGTTTTCAGTTCTTTGGGTTGTGCTTTTGAAAAAATGATGAACCTGTAAAATCAGCACTGGTGTGGGTGTTCTCCATTAGCAAGGGAGGTAGAAGCAACCTCTGCCTTCAGGCTGTTGGAGCTGGAGAGCTGGCCAGCCCTAGGAGAGGGACTGGAGAGGTAAGGGAGTCCAGGCTGGGCCCTGCAGTGCTAGGAAGCTGGATCTCTGGAGGACAAGGTAGGTGAGTTGGGTTCCTGAGGGTCTTTGAGTCAGGGACCAAAGGTGGAGAGACTCAGGCTACACCAAGATGCAATTTCTAGATTCACTTAAAGATGTAGCTTCCATAAAAGGTGGTCTGAGGGCCTAACTGGCTTTGGTCCTCATAATGGATTTGGATTGGGATTGAGGCTAGGAGCAGAAATGGGCCATGTAGCACCTTGCCAGCAAGGGGGTAGAACCCGGAAATGCCAAAGTCTTGGGCATGTTCAAAACAGATCAGCGGTGTGCGGCCCTTGCACTGAGTGGCCAGCTGGTTAGTTTAGCTGCTCAGAGTACAACCCAGCTCTGTTCTGGGCCAAGATCAGTAGCTTGAGTCCATATGAACTTCTGAGCCAGTCTATAGTTGTGCTTCTTGTGGCACTCAGCACTGTCACTGATGCACGTAACTAGCCACTAAAGGGGTGGGTGGCTTGCAGGGATGACAAGCTAAATCCACTCTCACTCCCACTGGGAGAGAATTCTGACTCCAGGTCTACAAGCTAAAGCATGGCATTCTGTTCTTGTCTAAGGATGCCTGGTCTGTTTCTCAGCATTATTCTGTCATCCTTTTCAGGCTAGGCATGGAGAGGTTAAATACTTTTCCAAGTTCTAGAAGGTACAGGTAGTACCTACTTGACCTCCTCTGAGATCTCTTCGTGAAAGTACTTCTTGGTCTGTCCAGTGGAGTTGTCCTTGACATGCCTGGGCTGGGGACAGGCAGGGTCCCCTGCATGGAAGGCTGTATACATGCAAAGGGTGACTCACAGCATTTCTTCACTCTGGCCTAGAGGGTGGACTGGGAGTACACAGTGGGCGAAAAAGTAGGAGCCAGGCAAGCCTCCAGAAGTGAGCTTGTTGAGGTTCCTGAATGTGTGTTGCTTTACTGTCCACCTCAGGAGCAGGTCGAGAGTGCCACAGCACATCCAGTAATCAGGTCACTAAATTAGTGATATAAGGTCACTAAATGACAAATTCAAGGAAAGGAAAGAGGATATGACTTTTTTTCTTGTTGTCTGTCAGTAGATCGATCCTATAAGCTCTGATTCACATTAAAAGCTGTGGTAGTACAAATACAACACAGATCAAGACTCTTTACATTGGCTTCTCACAGGTTAGCCCACAAATGGTCCCAGACCATAGAGTCAAAGGTCAGAAAGAGGTCAGGAACAGCAAAAAAAAATCCCACTCTGTTGTTGCTACCAGCTTCTTTCAGCATGAAAGCAACTGACCCAGTGGCTGCAGGTGGCCATGCCAAGTGGTCTTTTCATTGTCCACAATGTCCTTTGTCTCCATCTTCACAGTGACAGCAGTTTACCATGCAAGAGGTAACTTGAGTATTTCCATCATTGCCCATGTCTTTAATCATTTTCCTAGGACAAATTTCTAGATTTGGCATTGTTCCCAAGTATTATAATTTTCAATAAGATAGTATACTTGATACCAACAAATGATAGCCCATTTAATTTGCGCTAAAAATTTCTAATGGAGCCTTTTGTTTTGGCTGGTTGTATTATGATGTTGCAAATTTCTTGTCCATCTTTTGCCCTCTATTCTATGGAGTATTTGCTTCCCAATATTGATGTGGTTGAGGTCCTGTCTGTAAAGGTGATAATGCCTTGGTTTTCATATTTGTTGCAAGTATCCTTTTAGTTTTGCATGTCTACAAAGAGTTTCCTTTTAAAATCCATACAGAGACTTTAACTTTTACTACTCAAAATCTTTTGGTATTTCCTTTTATTATTTCTGCCTTTGATGTGGTGCTTAGAAATTACTTTCCCGGGCTGGAGAGATGGCTCAGTGGTTAAGAACACTGACTGCTCTTGCAGAAGACCCAGGTTCGTATCCCAGCACTCACACGGCAGCTAACAACTGTCCGTAACTCCAGTTCCAGTGGATATGACAGCCTTTTCTGTCCTCCGTGGGCATTGCGTGACATGGGTGCATTTACCTACATGCAGGCATAACACTAATACACATAAAATAAAAATAATAAATAAAATTTTTTTTTTAAAAAAAGTATTGGGGTTGGGGATTTAGCTCAGTGGTAGAGCGCTTGCCTAGCAAGCGCAAGGCCCTGGGTTTGGTCCTCAGCTCTGAAAAAAAAAAGAAAAAGACGAAAAAGAAAGTACTTTCCCATAATAAAATCATGGAAATGTTGGTGCCTGTATTCCGAAAATCTTTTTTTTTTTTTTTTGAGACAGGGTCTCCTTGTAGCCCCAGCTGTCCTAGAACTCACTATATAGACCAGGCTGGCCTCGAACTCACAAAGATCTGCCTGCCTCTGCCTCCCAATTGCTGGGATTAAAGGCAGACTTAACTCTTTAATTGAAATTAATTTGATTATACATGTCTTTGTAAACTGCAATAAATTCCCTTTGAAAAGATAGGGATTCCTTCACTTGTTAATATGGCAAGATTAGGCAGCTAGTAGAAAAGGAGGGGTTGAGAGCCAGAAGAGGGAGGGGATAAATAATGGATCAAGGTAGAAGAGAAAAGGTAAAGGGGAGGTATGCAGGGGTTGCTGTCTGAACCTACACATGGACACTCAGTTTCTGAGGCTAGATAAGAGATCAGGAGATGGTAGAGGCAAGAGGTAGGTAGACAGTGAGTAGAGAAGGTGCTGGGCCCAGTGCCAAAATCTCCTGTGGTTGTTGGGGTGGGGCCAGCAGGTGGGATCAGAAGAGAGGCCTTCACCAGGAGGACCAGAGAATGGTAGGAGCCAGTGGCATAAGCATCGTGGAGACAGGTTCATGAGTTACAAATTTATGATTTGGAGGAATTGTGATTTGCTCTTCCACCTTTGAGATCAATAGCATGTGGAAGAATTTCCCTGGAGAGATGTCCTGGACTCTTGGGGTACCATGAAAGGTTTGAGAGGGTAGAGACTGTGAGGAGAGTCTATCTCCATCACTGGAGAGGGACAGAGTCAGGGAAAGTTAAGCAAACCCTTATGTAGAATAGTTTTTCAAAGCCTTTACACACATGAACTTGCATGTGAGCCTGTTGTGAGCTCCACAGAGCAGTCAGACCCAGGGATTTTCCCAGAGTCAGGCAGGAAGCTCATGGCTCATGCCCATAACCTAGCAATTGAGATGCCCACTCTAGACACTGTCCCCCGACACACACACCAGTGACAGTACCATCTGTATGTACCTAAAGACAGGAGTTTGGGACAGTATCTAACATTCTTTTTCTCTCTCCCCTTTGCAGGATCTTAGTGCTGCATCGCCCCTGTTGCCGACCATGAATGGGATGGCCAACGTAAATTCTGCTAGCCGCCCACACTATGCCTCCTCCATCCCTGTGCCTCGAGCTTCCTCCCAGACAAGAATTCACACCCCAGGCACTTCCCCTCAGCTGAGGCCCACCCTTAGCCCCCAGAGGGGCAAGGCTGTAGTGTCCCCCAGAAACTCCTCCCCCAAGGGCTACAGGGGGAGAGGCTCCTCCAGGGCTACTGGACCAGCTAGGGAGCTGGCTGAGAGTGGGGAAAGCCTTCCTAACTCTCCCTGGAACAGTCCCAACGTGACCCCAAGAGCAGCCCTCTCCAGTCAAGCCAAGTCCAGAAGAGCTGGGGAGACACAAGGCACCCAGAGAAAGAAGGTAGCCCAAGAAGGTGTTCCAGTCCGCCAGATCCGGGGCAGGAGTCCACCCCAGACAAGTTCTCATGGAGAAACTCAAATACCAGGGCCTCCTAGCTGCCCAGGAAAAGATCAAAGAGACACAGACTACAAAAGTTCTGTAATCACCAGGTCTTTGGAGCCTGATGAAGGGGCAACTTCAAGGATTTCCTCTCAAGTCTGCAGCCCTGTGCAGAGTATGCAGCCCTCTCCTACTCCAGGAACCATTAGCTTCTCCTCAGCCCATCAGCAGAGCCAGCCAATCACAGCCACAGTGGCCCCCTTCCAGTACAAGTGAGCTGGGGCCGGAGAGGGGTGGGGGGCAGCAAGCAGGGACGGAAAGAGGGAAAATGGTGCTGGGACCAAGGGGCAAACTTTAAGAAGACAGGGGCTTTGGTGACAAGTGACCAGTACGGTCTGGGGCTCCACGGCATAGAAATGAGACAGGGAGATACCTAGAAAGTTTGGGAGCGTAGCAAGCTAGATAGGACTGGGATTATGAATAGAGACAATAAGTCAAGCTTTCTGGTCTTTCTCAGTTCTGGGGACCTGACAACAAACAGGAATTCATGAGGGTACCCTAAAATGGTCATTTCTCCCACACTCTAGGAAATGATGAAATTGTATTAGAGTATTGAAGATGTTTAAGCATCCAGTACATAAGCAGGTGGGTTGGCAGGTGCATCTGTCTTGCCACCACTGTATGTTAGACTGTGTTGTTTTGGGTACTGGGCCTTAAGTGGATTGAGCAAAGCCCTATTTCTCTGTGTTGTTCTCATAAACATATCTTTTGTGTCTGCCCATCTCTCTTTCTCTCACTTGTTTGTCTCTACTTGTCACACTGTGTTATGCCTATTTGTTTTTGTGCATAGCATATTGGCAGTCAGTAATACTTAAATTTCTAGGTAAATGTCATTATTGGCACTGGTGGTGGCTGACCCGTATTCACAGCAATGAGGTCAACATGCCAGTCTCTCCAGCTTTCAGACATGTTAAGTGCATAGAAAAACACTTAGTCAACTATGCTTTTTAAGTAAAAATAACTCTTTACTAAAATGACCACATTAAATAAACTAAATTTTAATTTCTAATTATTTTGCAGGTTAGGAATGCCCAAATGCAAACTAAATACCTTCCTGACTACATTCGCCTCCTATGTTTTTTCTCCTATGCTAATGCAAGGAGTAGCTGTCAGTTTGTATCTGGGACAAGAACAGCTTGTCCCTAGGCCCTGGGAACCTCTGAGACATCAGAGCAGCTGAAGGGGGGGGGACCTCTGGGAGCTTCATCCTTCATTAGAACCCAACTCATGTCTGTCTAGATCTCTGAACAGTCACGTGTAACCTTATAGTAAGAGGTATGAGTGTCTAGGACAAGGAACTGATACCCCTCTATATTCTATATGTGGCCAAGCTTCCTTTACAGTGCTGCATGCAGCTATGAACACCACATTTTAAAAGTACATTGACACACCAAAACAATTTAGAGGAAGACTGACAGGTTAGTGAGGGACCCAAAAAAGGAGTTACAAGAATGATCAAAGGAAGTAAAAAAGTTTGCTTTGGAAAGAGAAGGTTTAGAAGGATATGAGAGCTGTTCTCAAATACTTGAAAGCCTGTCATGTCATAAGATGAATTAGATTTACTTGGGGCAGCTCCAAAGAGCTGACTCAGTGTTATGGTGGTTAGAATTTAGTTCAAGATAGATTTGAGGCTGGATAGGAGGAACTTTCCGACAGTAAGAGAGGCTTACAAATGGACTGCAAGGCAGTGGATTCTCTGTTACTGCAGGAACTCCAGTAGTTTCCACAGCCCAGGAGAGCTGTTAGCCAAGGTGATCCCTCTGTCTGACTACTGCCTGCACAATGCACAGATAGCCCTTCTTCTAAGGGTCAGCTCACTTCTGTCCCCAGAGACTTTCTCTACTGAGATTCTGAAGCAGATGAGAGAACTGAGAAGCAAGCGCAGGGAAGGCCTTCCATTTTTGCTTTTCTTTTGCTGGGGATCAAACTCAGGAAGATCTGCATGCTAGGCAAGCACTGTACTGCTGAGCAACACCCTAGCTCTGACCTTCCTTTGAATAATCTTTCCCCAACAGCTAAGTGCCTCCCTACTGACCACGACTTTCTTCTCCTACCTGATTCTCGTCATTTTAAATTCATTCTTTGGGAAAAGGTGTCTAGGCATTAAATCATTTCAGATTTTACATTATCCACCCTACAAGTCCCCTGGTATATTTGCCGCCTGTCATTTTTCAAAAAGGTTAGAATATCTTTCTCTGAACATTTCAATGCAACTTAAACAGAATGACATTTCTTTCACTCTCAAATGTTTACTGCATGTTCTCATTTTAAACAGACATGAAAATGTGTCACACCTCTCCAGTAGAAGTTGTCCTTACCACCCCTCCTCAAGACCCTGCCCTTTTTAGATTCTTGGTTATGGTTGGAGGGTGGGTCACAACAAGAATAGGCTTGGATAGAGGATGCCCCAGGATGTTGTAGGCAGATGGGCTGGATCCCTGTGCACCCTGTAAGACCGAGAGCTGCTGTCATGGGCAGTTCTGCCAAGAGCTTGGCTAGGCCACCCATCCAAGCTTTATAGCCAAGGAGATGCCATCTGTTCCCTAGAATCCATAGACATCCTGTTTTTGTGGAAGTCTATCCTCTACCCCCAGGACTTTGACCTTCTACAAAACTCCAGGTGAATGTAGCAGCAGAGCTTACTGGGTTCCCCTCCTCATCTCAACCTAGTCCAGAAAACAGATCCATTAGCCATCTTTTGCCCTGTCACAGCATCCCACCTGTGTCCTTTCAAGAACCTGGTGTGGTCATCCCAGTGATGATGTTCATCTCCTGCCACCTGCCACCTCCTCTCATGTCTGTGATCCCTGGGCAGGAGAAGGCCCCCTCTGGCAGTCTTCTGGTTTCTGGTCTCACACATCCAATTCCATCACAGCTTCCTGCTCACTCCTTCCATGTTTCTGTCAAAGGGCCACAGCTTCTGCACCATAGTGTTTTGTCTTTCTACCTACCAGAGGCTTTTTTTCCTGATAGTACACTCCTCTCCTTTAGTTAAGAAGGTATAGGTAATGGTGTTAGGAGTGTAGGATCATTCAGGTCACCACTATGGTTTTCTCTATTCTGGTTCACTCTCATTCTGACTTCTGGCAGAGAGAGAGAGAGAGAGAGAGAGAGAGAGAGAGAGAGAGAGAGAGAGCTAGAAGATAGATGATAGAAAGATAGATAGATAGATACATAGATAGATATGTAGATACATAGATAGATACACAGATAGATGGAGCTATATAGTCCTGTTCCATCTGAGCTGAGATCAAATGAAGCTCTGGCATGTTTAGGGAGGTAAAGGTATGTTTAGATGTATGTCCAGAGCTGAATGAGAGAGAGCGAGGCAAAGGCCACCTTCCTTCATGATCCTGGATTTGGGGTTGCTCATGCATACAACTGATTTAGTCTCATCTGCCCTTGCACCACTTATGACAGCAAACCATTGCTGTTTCAGTGCTGGTTAGCATCCACCTCTCTAAATCAGACACTGCTTAGCTCTTTATATATGATGCCTTTCCGTGAAACATTTGCTACATCATGTAGAATTCCCTCTCTTCAGTAGAACCTTCTACTATTTTATCCCATTATGTTGTTTGTGTCACTTCAAATTAGTCCATACTAATTTCTTCCAAGAAAACAACTGTCTCATTCCAACTGTCTCCCTTGTCCCCTTGGCTGTTGTGACTTAGGCAAGATGTGTGTCCTCTTTCTATAAAGCGTTCTCCAGGGGCCAGCACAAGGTCTCCTGCTTTCTCAGTTACCCCACCCTTCCTTGTACCCAGCAACCAGCTGAGGGCCTGCAGATGCGCAACACCTCAGTACTACCCTGATGGCTTAGAAAGAGTCAAGTTATAGCCACAAACACCCTCAGACTGAGATTGTCAGACTGCAACTTCCGCCTGGCTCTCAGAGGTCATCTCTTCAAAACATGATAGAAACCAGACCCAGAGAGGGAAGATGTTTGCTTTACACAGTGAGCTCATGGCAGAGCTAGGCCCAGTGTTGGAAAAAGTGAAAATTAAGGAGAAAGGCAAATCTTAGCAGCACTAGACTCCCAGGGTCTCCTGGCCCAGCCTGTCAATTTCCCCTCCTTGCCTGCACAGTCCTCCCTTCCCCCTCCTGCCAAGCTGCCAAAGGGTCCATTTAGCTGGGGGGGGGGGGGGAAAGGGGGGGGGGGTAAAGGAGTGGGCGGGACAGCTCTGAGCCCAGGATAATTGCCTGTAATGAGAGCTCCCATAGTCTTTGTTCATGGAGAGATTGTATGCTTGGAGCTGTGCTCTGAGGTCTATATGCACTTGGTAGCCAGTGTCCAGAGACCTCGCCCTTCCTTCCTGTTGGCACCACTGGGCCAGCATGGAATTATCCTCCTAGGAGTCACTGTGACTCAGGCTGAGCCTTCTCCTCCTTTCCTGATCTTGTGTCCTTGAGGTAAGCAATACTACAGAGGCCAGAATAGCCCCTGAGTACCAGGATCAGTGGCCTCAGCCTTAGAGACAGCCCTTCCCCATGTGCATGTACTCTGTTGAGCAAACATGGACATCCTGAGGGCGAGAATCACAGCAGGGCAGAGGACCCCAGGCCTGGAGATTTTGGACATCTTTCTGCTCTATGGGTAATTTATGCTCCTGGGCAACAAAGGGCAGCAGATGTTGGATGTCCCCATACCCTTGGGGACTCCTGACCCATTGCTGCTCAGAAGGCCTGCTACTTTCTGAAATGCTGGCATGCACACATGTCCCTCAGAAAGGACTGACCCAGAGAGCTGCAGGGCACTGCAGGAGGGGAAAGTCAAGGTTGAGGCTTTGCTTAGCCCCACAGATGGTTTTGAAGCCATGAGTGACCTCTCCTTCTCTGGCCCACAGGTTGCAATCAGACCAGAAGTCTGGCCCTGTTCCTCAGGAGAGTTGGGCCCTTGATGGATACACCACCCCCACTAGCAGGGGAGAGGACAGCTTCTCCTGCATGGGTAAGTGCTCTGGGGAGACCTCCTACACAGGAGCCACATCTGGACTCTTCTTATTAGCATGGGGAAGGAGTGTCCTGGGCCTAAGGATAATCTTCTTTTCTATTGTTTTGTTTTGTGACAGAGTTTCACTATGTAGCTCAGGCTGGCCTCAAACCTTGTGTTACCTCGGTCTTCAAATGCTGAGATTTTAAGGTGGCACCCCATACCCAAATCAGGTCTCTTTTTAAAAAAATGTTTTAAATTAAATTTTATTTATTTGGTTATTTGTGTGTGTGTGTGTGTGTGTGTGTGTGTGTGTGTACACATTTGTCGCTGCACAAGTAGATAACTTGTGGGAATTGGTTCCACAATCCTTCCACTTTTTGAGTTCCAGGGGTAAATTCAGATCATCAGGCTTGACATCAAGTGCCTTAACCTGCTGAGCCATGTCCCCAGCCCTCAGATCTTTCTCTTGACAATGAGACACTAACCTCTGAACTCCCCTGGGAGCTTCCTCCATGTTGAACTCAGCCCAAGGGTAGAGCTGGCAAATCCAGGAGCACTTCAGGGTTAGGATAGGAAAGTGATCATGAAGGATCAATGCCATGATTGTCCAGGGCTCAGTTTGTAAGAACCACTCTGTGTGTCTCATGGATAATCACAACAGAAGGGTAACAAGCTGGGAGAGTATGGGCCAGATTCTGGTGAAGCCCAGGTTCAAGATGAAGGTGCTGGGAGCCAGGAAGGCAGTCTACAGCCAGCTGGCTAGCTGCCTGGCACCTGTTTCCACTCCCAAGACTACTTTTTAAAAACTTATTATTTTTATTTTATGTGCATGTGTGTATTGCCTGCGTGATAGAAGTGCACCTGTGTCACGCAGTACCCACAGAGGTCAGATGAGGGTGTCAGATCCCCTAGAACTGGAGTTACAGATGGTTGTTAGTCACCATGTGGGTGCTGGGAATTGAACCCAGGTCTTGTGCAAGGTCAGTACTCTTAACTGCTGAGCCATCTCTCTAGTCCCCAAGACCACTTTTAAAGGCCACTCCCACACATGTACCCTGTGTTAACCTGTAACCATATCATCATCCAGTGCATATATACTGCCCATAGCCTCAGGGACCTGAGACTAAGAAGACCCTTGAACTGAGATTCAGAGATCTTCTTTAAGGGCAGAGACTGCTTGTTCTAGGCGTAACCTCTGGTGCTCAGTGTCTCTGAATGAATGGGTGATGAATGAATAGGTAAGTGCCTTGTGAGCCACTGACCTGGTCCTAAGCAATTCAGATTCTAAACTCTCAACAGCATTTAGGGTCATATGTTGAGTGATTTTCTTGCCATATTTTTAAAAAATACCTAGAATTCAGCAATGTGCATGCTAAAAGTACATGTGACAGCACACTGCAGGAAGCCAGCTTTGTCCTTCAGTTTCCTGGGCCAAGAGACATTTGTTCCAACACAGCAGTAAACCTGGGGGCCAGAGAGATGGCTCAGCAGTTACAAGTCTGTACTATTGCAGAGAATCTAAGTTTAGTTCCCAGCACCCATATTAGGTGGCTCTCAGCTACCTGTAACTCTAGCTCCAGGGGATCCAATGCCTCTGGTGTCCTCAGAAACCTGCCCTCACATGAGCATACCCACATACAGTTACCCACACACATGCACAAAATTAAAGATAAAATAAATTTTTTTGTTTTTTTAAGACAGGGTTTCATAATGTAGCCCTGGCTGGCCTGGAACTCGCTATGTAGACCAGGCCAGCCTCAAACTCACAAAGATTCTTTTGTTTCTGCCTCCCAAGTGTTGGAATAAAAGGCTCACACCACCATTCCTGGCTCTGAAAACAAAATAAATCTTAAAAAACAAAAACAAAAACAAAAGCCTGATTTTTGTTCATGGTGCTGAGGATTGCACCCAGGTGCTTGAGCGTGCTAGATACCTCCAGTGCATAAGAAGCTTGCTTTTGGAAGACTTGAATGTCCAGAAGGTTGATTTTACAGCCTTATCTCTGTACCCTGCTCCAGAGGGCAAAACTTGAGCTTAGATCACAGCCTGATCATTTGGCACTGGTGGCACACCATTCTATCTTCTCCATGCCCTGCTGTGTAGGTAGGTAGTGTCCCCTTTGGCCTCTGAACGAACTCTTCGGAGCTGTCTCTGGAGAGGTCAACAGCAGTGATCTTGGAGCCACTGCAATCTGGAATAGACCTGCCACACTCACTTCTCACTTGCCCTGCAGAGGATGGTCCTAGGGCAAGGCATGGGCATTTAAAGGATAACCATCTCCTCTCACAATAAGTATACATTCAAGGGAAGCAGGGCATGGCAGGGGACAAAAGTAAACCCAATTTCACTGGCACCGATGAACCATCAGAATTAGAATGTGGTAACCAGGAAACTATGTGGAGCTCTATTTTTACATTTGCAGTTTTGTTAGCATAATGGCTTCCTTATGTGTGTACCACATTGTTAGGCTAATGATCTCCATCCACCTAAACAGGCGCTCCTTGCTAATTATGATCCTGTGAGCTAAGAAGAGGACTTTTGCTTTTTATGTCTACTGCAGACTGGCGTTAGGAAGCCCCTTGACTTGTCTGCTCCAAGACCACCCTCAGCAGTCAGATCTGAGAGTGTCTGCTAGATCCCAGGTGATCAGTGTGGAAGTGAGGCACAAAGCCCTAGGACTCTGAGGGTGGGCTTCACACGAGAAAAAAGCACAGCATCCTCCAGTATACCAAGGGACAGAGATCAAGGTTCTGCTGTGGTTCTCCTTGGTTGTCATGGTGATCCATCATTGCTGAGAATCCACTGAGCTCTTTGATGGGTTGGATGGGGAGTGATATAGAATGCACCTTCTTTATGGGAGGGGGGCACACTTTTCTGAGCTTGAGGAAGACTGAGAAGAGAGGAAGGAAACAACTGAAAGTTTCCACTCTCTGTCTTATTCTTTCACTTCCGGGCTCATTCAGGATGTCATGAGTTGCTCAAATTTTAATTTATTTACTTATTTTATTTTTATGCATATGAATGTCTTTCCTGCATGTGTGTAAGTGCACCACATGTGTACAGTGCCCATGGAGGCCAGAAGAGTGTGTTGGATCCCCTGGAACTGGAGTTGCAGATGGTTGTTAGCTGCCATGTGGGCATTGGGAATTGAACCTGGGTCCTCTGCAAGAGCAGTCAGTGCTCTTAACCTCTGAGCCATCTCTCCAACCCCTTGTGTGTTCTCTTATTCAATCAGCAAGCACCCAGTGAGCATTTTCCTTGTGCAAACACTGTTTGACACTACAAAGGATGGGCAAGACTTTCACCTGCCTTTAAGGATTTCACAGTTTAGGAATTCACTCCAGGGATACCCATGTAGAGAATCTGTTGGCACCCCAGAAGCTCTACCCAGTGACTTGCCCATACATGTTGACAAGGCAGTAGGCTGGCTGCACTAGGCATGCATAAAGCATGCTGTGGAAAGCCCCATAGCATACAGGACAATTAGCCCATGGCCACTTCTTATGGAAGGAGAATCAAGTGTCTTGGAAAGAACCCCACGCAGTTACTTCCCAGTTACTGATCATGTTGTTTTCATAGTAGTGTGTAGGAGACAGGGGACTTTCCTTTAAGCTTAAATATCCCCCTGAACTCATTGTGTTTGGTGATCGAGGAATCCAGAGTGAGCAGTCTCATGCATCAGAGCCAGGTTTGTTGTCTCAGCTGAGAAGCAGCCACCAGGCTTTCCTTACTCTTCCCATATGGTTCCCACAGCATGGCTGAGGGGTAGGGACCTAGTGGGGGCAGGGCCAGAGAAGGCCAAAGAGCTTTCTCTGCCCTGTACTACTTTTAAAACTTATTCTGCTTAGAATAGAGTCCAAACAAACACTTTGTGATCTTTATATAGCAGGAAGAGAATTTCCCATGATGTCTTGCCACCAAGCTGGGGTGTTGGGGATGGCCTTCATATGTGCCCAAGGCTGTCTATGACCGGCTGTTCCTTCTGCCTGTGCCCTGGAACAGTGGTGGAAGACTCCAGCCCACAAGTGTTTGTGTGTGTGCCCTGACCTTCCCAGGGCTCACCTGGCTCTGCTAGGGACTCTGCTTACTGGTCCTCCCTGCAAGACAGCCTTCAGATCTTAATTTGAACAGGCAAGGAAGCCAGGGTTGATTCTGCCACATGTTCACATGTGTGAGGCTGTGTGCAGAACTGGGAAGGGTTTCCTTGAGGTTTACACAGATTCCTTAATTACTTCCACTTTGTGGCATGTATGAATGAGTGCTAAGTGAACACACACTTAAAGGGATTTTTCTCGTTGTAACGTGTGTCACTAGGGAACCAGCCAGAGCCTCTTCCCTGTCTCCTCACTGAAGGGTTGATACATACATAGACCAGGTGGGGCTGGGTGCAGTTTGGCTTCCCACTGGGGTAGTTTCATTGGTTTCCTCTTCTTCTCCCTTAGTGAGCTAATCCATCTTTAAGCCACAAGTTCATGTTTTGTTCTAAGAAAACTTGCGTATCTGTTATGTCTTCAATGGAACAAGAGTAAGGGATGGTCCCTGCGCTCTCTGGGAGAGGGTGAGGAGGTTGTTCTGGACTCATTTGCTACAGCACAGATGTACAAGTAAACATCAAAGACATAGTCAATGAAAACTCCAACAAATCTTATAGAACACTCTGGCCTCATTTTCCCTGAGGAAGGCTGAACTTTAGAAGGGAGAAGTGTCTTGCTCATGATTGATGGCAAGTCAGCAGGTGGACAGAAACCAGGATCATTGCCTCCCAACTCTCCAAACACCAAGATAACCAAATGGTAACATTACTACCATTTATTGAACCATTATCATGTATAAGCACATTGTTGGATGCTTCTTACACTAAGTCCTTTGTGAACACTGTGATTCTTTAAAAGTGTTCTTCCTGTTGTTAAAAGGAGGGAACTCAGGCTCTGAGAGGCTCTGAAACATGTCTGAAGGTACACAACTGGGAATTGCACCAGGATTTGAGCCTTGTTTGTCTGAAGGTCATACCCTTCCCCTCTCACCCTCCTGCCTTCCATCTGCCACCAAGACTCACTGTGGTAACTGTACACTGTCCAAGTTCAGCTCAATCACCCTAAACCTCTGCCAAGTGGCAGGGAAAGAAATGGGGTCAGTGAGCCACAGTCCCTACCAATATCTCCCTCAGTCCCAGCAGGCTGCAGGATGTGACTGGCATCTCTGTCACTCCAAGCCCATGTCATTTCATGCTGAGTTCACACTGCTGTGTTCCCTGTCCTCTGGGGACTTCCAGGCTGAGATGAGCCTAATGTCCCAGCCATCCGTGGAGAGACATGCAGACAATTGACTAGAAAACAACAAGTTCAAGATGGATAATGCTTCCCACATTCCAGGCCTGGAGGGGTCTGTTACCCCTATGGGGCAGGGAAGGCTCAGAGTGGGAGAGCTCAAAGACCCTTTTTAGATAAACAGAGCAGCCATCTGGGACCAAGTAGGCTTCCAGTTGGGATGGGAGGGCATAATACTTGTAGCAGCAGCTGACACTTATTGCAGCTTTCTGTAAGCCAGACATTGTTATAAGTACATTTAATCCTTCTAACAACTGCATGAGGGCTGGAGCCTGGCTCCCCAGCTTGCCTCCTCACCCTTGGATGTACAACATTGGACAAGATCTCTCTCAATCTCTCTCTCTCTCTCTCTCTCTCTCTCTCTCTCTCTCTGCCTCTGTTTCCCTTTGGCTGGAAATGGGAATATCTTACCTTCCTCAGCTAGGCATGGTGGCTTATACCTGTAATTCCAGCACCTGGGAGGTAGAGACAGGGGGAATCAAGAATTCAAGGCCATCCTTGGTTACAGAGTGAATTCAAGGCCAGCCTGGGCTATATGAGATCCTGCTCCAAAAACATCTATTATATAGGGGCTAAAGAGATGGCTCAGGGCAGTTAAGAGCACTGGCTGCTCTTTCAAAGGACCAGGGCTAGGTTCACAGCACCTATATGGTGACTAACAACTGTCTGTAACTCCAGTTCCATGGGATCTGACACTCTTTTCTGGCCTCTATGGGCATTGTAACATGTGGTGCACTTACATACATGTAGGCAAAATACTTATACACATAAAATAAACATTAAAAAAAACAAAATATTTTTAAGATCTAGTATTTATACCCTCATCCAAGAGTTTGTAAAGATTAAATGCTTCAATATAGGTAAAGTGCTTAGAAGAAAGCCTTGTGCATAGTACCTGCTTAATAAATGCTCAGTATTATTTGTTATCTAACAAAGTGCTATTCCTATCATGCCCACTTTACAGATGAGAAAAGTGTGGCACAAAGTACTTATGTGATTTGCCCAAGGTGGTCCAGCCAGGATTTGACCCAGGCTGTCAGTCTTTGGTGGCCATGCCTTAGCTGTACATACATGACCTCACTGAATGGGAAGATGTGTGGAGTCTGGGGATGCCCCAGGGAGAAGCAGTGGGGTAGCCAACATGGCAGAGCTTTGCTCTGAGAGGGCCCAAAGGAAAAGGCTAGAGAAGCAAGGTCATCTGAGGTATCCTGCCAGAGGGGTTTGAAATAGAAATGAGAAGGCTTTGGATTGCGCTGCTTTGGAGGAGGGAGGGGAAAGTGAGAAGACTGAGTGACTCCTCATGACAGCATTTGGCTGGCAATGAGATTCATCTCCAGAGAGTGACTCAAACCCAATGGGAGCCATTTTAGGGAATATCAAGAATTACAGAGGCTGGTTAGCCTGGAGCCCCCTTCCCCATGACCGCTTCTACTCCAGAAGGTGTGTGAGTGACTCTACACAGTGTGTGTAACTGTAACAATGCACAGTGTTGTCTATATGTAACAATGCACAGAGTTGGCAAGTCCTAGCCTCCCTGTTTCCTGCTGCACTGAGAAGACCATGACCTCTGCGTATGAATCCAGAGGTACTACACTAATGGGCAACCTTTTGATTAAGTACTTAGTATGTTCCAGTGCTGTTCTAGAAGCTTAGGACATATTCATGAGCAAAACAGGCAAAGGCCTCCGTCCTTACAGGGTTTATGATACAGTCGTGAGTTATACAGTATATAGCTTTTGTGATTCACAGCACAGCTCTGGAAAAGCCTCGGCCCTGGAATGTGTCTCTCATCCCAGAGAACAGGAGCAGAGCTCTAGTCTCATGACACCCCCAAAACCACAAGCAACAGCAATGTCTTGGTTTCTTTTCCTGTTGCTGTGATCAAATACTCTGACAAAAGCACCTCAGGGGAGACAGTTTATTTTAGCTCTCAGTTCCAGGTTACAGTTCATCACGGTGGGGAAGTCGAGGCCTCAGGAGCTTGAAGCAGCTGGTTACATTATATCCGAAGTCGGAAGAGAGCGATAAAATGTGCATGCTGCTGCTGCTCAGCCCACCTCTCTCTACCTGTAGAGAAACACGTGTCCAAAAAATGGCCCTGCCCACAATTAAGATGAATCTTCCCACCTCAATTAATGGAATCAAGATTATCCTCTGGAGGTCTGTCCAGAAGCCCTCTTTCAGGAGATTCTGGATTTTGTCCAGTTGACAGCACTAACCATCACAGGTAGTCTGGACCCATCCCTCTTCATCTGGAGTCCTTACTGATGGGAAAGATGAGTCCATGATAAACTTTCTCTGTACTTTTCCTGGGAATGACATCCCCCCCAACCCCACCCCCCTCAAGATACCTGTCTATCTTGAACTTGGCTTCTTCCTGGCAAGTGTTTGCAGATTTCACTCTCCAACTGGAGATGAACTGCTTTAGTTTTTTCTCAGAAATACCAGTTCCTGTGGACTGATGGACTGTGGCTAGCCCCTGAGCATGAGAGGCTTGATTCCTAGAAATCACCCCAGATCAGTATGCCCCTCTTGTGACCTCAGGGAGGCAACCCAAACCTCGATCACATCAGAGGCCACTTCTTTTTTTTTGTCTAATTTTTAGATTTTATTTTTAATTATGTGTACATATGTGTCTGTGTGTGGGTATGTACATATGAGCGCAAGTACCTGAAGAGGTCACAAAAGGATGTCAAATCCCCTGGTGTTTGGAACTGAACTCTGGTCCTTTGTAAGAGAAGTACATACTCTTAACCACCAAGCTATCTCTGCAGTCCCAGAGGCTTCTACTTCTATGGCCAACCCAGGGAGCTTGGTGGCAAGTGTCACCCTGGAAACTTGGCTTCTTAGGCCTCTGCCTTGCCCAGCAAGGGCTGGCAAGCTTCCTTAGCACTTCTGCCCTGGGTTCTTTTTCTAGAAAGCCCAGGGCAGGCAGAGAACCTGCAATGGCTTTGTCTTAAAGAGTCACAGCTGTCCTGTCCCAGTGCCTCGCAGAAACTGGAGCACATTGTCCCATACTACATACTACTCCCTTGGCAAGAGGACTAGGGTCTCCTGCTGAGCCCCACAAGGCTACCCAGAACACTTACACAGGAGAAGCAGCTGAAGAGTGAAGTAACACAGACACAAAAGCCAGAGACATTCCTGCTGTCCTCCATCTTGTGTGTGGCCCTGAGGCTTCAGAGGAAGCCCAAGGTCAGGGTTTACGTAGGGTCAGTGAGTGCCAGGTCACCCACCCCAGAGCAGGCAAAGTCCTGGGACAGAAGAGACCTGAGAATCATCTGGCTATATCTTCTTTTAAGGGCATCATTTCACTGCCACAGAAGGCAGTGGCAGTGAAAAATGAGGGTGTTCTGAAGTATAATAGCTAAGGGAACCTCCAAGCAGAAGGTTAGCTCAGCCACAGTGGATATGGAGGCAGAGACTCCACACTAATGCAAGCTCAGCCAGGGACAGGAGCCAAGTCTGTGAGTACATTACATCCTTCCTCCTGCAGAGGCTAGGTTTGCTTGGAGGCAGGAGGAAATGCAGACAGGGCCAGCTCACTCTGACAAAACCAGGCCCTGGGAAGGCCAAATTCTTGCATGGCTCTAAAAGCTCACCCACCACACCATAGTATTTGTAGAGCCATTTTTACATACCAAGTAATTGTCAGTGATTATTCTATTAAAAATCATTGAAATATGAATCCATGGCATCCCTCTGTTGAATTTAGTGCCTCATTAAAAAAAACCAACAAAAACTCTAATGAAGCACAGAGGTGCCAATGAGCCAATGAGAGCAGCCATAGAATGGGAGTGTCTTTCTCTAGGGCATTGCAAGGCTAAGTATCCCTAAGCCAGCCAGTGTCCTAGCCATATCCTGTTAAAGCAAGTTAAACTTTCTCTGTTCATATAGTTGTCTTTAACTATTTGAGCCAGAGCTTCTTTAAGGACCCAATTGGTGTTAACTCTCCAGAGACAAATGGCCATCATCTGGTCATTCTACTGATCTCCTGAACTTGGTCTATGGATACAGATAGATCACAAAGTTCTCAGGTAGGACGTCATTGCTGAATTGGCAAGACATCCTCAGCTGTGAACCTTGTGTTTCTCCTCTATTTTGGGGTTTCCTTGGCCCACAGTGAGGCAGTAAGATTTATTACAAGTAGGTCAGTTCTCCCCTGAGGGAGGATGTTGCATAAGATTATCTCTCATGCTCCATGTACACTTGTGATTCAGTGATGTGAAACAAGCAACTCTGCATGGAGGGTTGCCTTGACTCCGAGTTGAACTATAAGAAAGAATATATGTTCATATGAGCAATTTACCTGTCTCCACTAAACTCGTGCATACACACTCTCCTCTTCATTTGCTTGCCTGGAATTCCCCATTTCATGCCTGTAGTTGTCATGACAACCAGCCTAGGCTGGTCTTAGTCTAAGGGTGGTGTACCAAGGTAGTGCAGAGCTTATCTGAGGCCCAGTGTGCAATGGCCACTGCAGCTGTGTGTATGGGACAGTTGCCATGGTAATATATAGACACACATTTGTAGGACATATTTGAACTTCTTCTGGGCTTCTTATTAGTCAGAGGAGCAAGGGGATGTGATTTTAAATGAGTACAATTTCAGATAGTGCCCTAGATTATCTATTTTTCCTGCTTTTTCCTGCTTGATACCCGAGGAGACGAGAAAGTGAAGATTCCTTACCCTCTCAACCCTACTGAATTTACATGACCAGTGGAGGTGCAGAGAACACAAGCATTCTCTAAGGCCACATAGCAAATCCAGAAGAGAACCCAAGATCCCAAAGGCATACGATTAGGCCCAATGGGGTCTTGGGCTTTTGGGGACTCTCAGGCCCACTGAGTAGGACCCCAAGACAGAAGGCTGAGGCATCAAACAGACTGGTGGTGCTGTATGCTGCTTCCTCTGTCCACAGGCTGATCCCCCATCTGTTCTCCTCTCCCTGGACTCAGTAGGCCAGTCCTACTGTGAGTGTTATCCTAGACTCACTCTTATTTCTGGTGTAGCAGGTATTGGTGTTACAAGAGCTCCTCAGTAGGACCTTAAGCTTTCCTGTTACAGGGGCTCCATGCTTCTGGGTACAGTATATAATATGAAGCAAGTCTCTGGATATAGTTGTATGCTGATAGAGGATGTTATGGGAAGTTGTAGGACCTGAACAGACTTTTATTCAAAGCCCAGTTCTACCAATAACCTCCTGTATGGTCTTGGACAAGTGTCTGTCTCTATAAAATGAAGATGATACTCCCTGCTTTCTGTGGTTTATGAAATAATGAACATGATGTACCTAAATGGGTCCCTGGTGCTTTGTGCCTATAGGATCCCTTGCCCTCACTAACCATCCTTTATAGGTGACTTTCAATTCAGCTGGCAGGAGTGGGGCTCTCTCTGGGATGCAAGTCAGCAGAATGTGCCTGCATGACCCTGACTACAGTCAGCAGGTAGGAAAGGCAAAAAGATGAGTGGGGCAGTCAGAGAGGACTTCCTGGACAAGTGGCCCTTGCAATGGTGCATCAGACTTGAATTCATATAGAGACCAGGCAAAGCAAAGGTACAGGAGTGGATTAGGCCTGAGCAGTGCCAGGTAGGTGAGCAGAAGAGGGCAAAGTTGCCAGAGGATAAAGTCAGAACTGTGAAGGGCTTGTGTGTTGGCCAGCACTGGCCTTAATGGCAGCCTGGTATCAGAGGGTAGGGGGATGATTCTTACCTGAAAGGCCATCTAGGTCACTACATCAGACGTCCTCTTACAGGAGATCACAGAGCTTTAGCTTTGAGATGAGGAGGAGGGCCTCAATGCCTGGAGATTCTGGCCCATTCCTCCCACCTCCAGGGCTGCCCTCTAAGATCCACAGTCACTAGGAAGACAGTCTCCATGTTCTAGCCTGGAAATCAGAACATCTGGGAACAAAACAGCAGCCCAGAGTTAGACTTCTCTGGCCTCAGACATTCCTGTCCTGGGGTCCCTGAGGCCCATGACTAGAGAAGGGGCCTGTGCTCTGAGTTCCAGCTCTGCCCTCATGCCCCGGGTCTGGAGCAGACCTTCTGAGTAGCTCTTATCCCATTTCCCTCAGGTTATCCAGACCATAGCTCCCTGTTTTTGAAAGAGGGCCTATGCCTCTCTAGCCTCAGAAGGCCTATCTTCCAGTTGGGAACACTGGACTTAAGGCTAAGGTTCTGTCTCCTTAGGTGACAACAAATGACATGTTTTTTTCTTCTCCAGGCCTCATTTCTACCCCTTCCTTCCACATCGTGGGCTGGCTCCCCCTGAACATTCCTGCTCTGTTGGTATCAGGTCTAAGAGTTGGGTGGCGCCAGGCAGCTGGGAGTTGTAAGGAATATGTGCTTAGCTTAGGATTTCTCCACATTTCTACCGTCTTGGGAACGGGAAGACAGACTAAGACCCAGAACCCTGGTTCCACTCCCAACTTTCAGCTTGCTGAGCCTCAGTTCTCCCAATAGACAGGCAGATAATATCTCTCTTTCCTGAGAGCACACATCCGACCTTTGAACGAGAATGAAAATCCATAACCCCTGAGCTCAGGAAGTTTTCTGGGGCTAGAGAGGATATGCCAGGAACCCACGGAGTCCACAGAAATGTCTTAGCCACCAACTCTATAGCAAAGATAGTGCCTGGGCTGATAGGAAGCAAGTTGACTGATTTAAGAGAGCTTCCTGGAGGTGTAAGCATGCTAGAGAGTTCATGTGATTTCACTTTGTCCACTGTTCCCTTTTCTTCTGCACACAGGAAGGGTGGAGCCCCAGTCCTGGTTTGGAACTGCTCTATGTGCTGGGGAGACACCTTACCCATGCTTGCCCCTGTTTCTTAGAGGTGCAGCAAAACTCTTCCACACCTCTGAGCAGAACAAACATTTGGAGGCAGGAGGGAGTCTCATGGCTGAGTGTCACAAGGTCATTCCCTGAGGTCTGCAGTTTCTTCTGAAGGGGCAGGGACAGGGTCAGCGGCCTCCTCCTGGCCCAGGGCTACAGAAAAGGGAGAAAAGATGCTGCTGGGACACCATCCCAGAGGCCTGGCTTCCACTCCACAGGCCAGCTGTGCTGTCTCTCACCACAGGGTACTGAGAGGTCACTGCTGTTTACAGTCTCCACACATCTGTTCTGAGTCACGCATTCATTCATTTAATTGGTTATCACTCACCAAATATTCCTGAGAGCCCACTATGTGCTCGGGACTTTGATGGTCTTTGAGGACAAGTTCAACCAAAACAAGATTCTTGGGAAACACAAATGAGAACCTAGTGAATGATGGCTACGCATGTTAGAAAGTCATTAATGTGGCTGCAGTGAACTGTGGGAAGAGCCAAGTGGCATCCTTAAAGGAGGGGTATTTGGCTTTAGGAGAGGCTTTAAAAAAAGCTAGGTTTGGTGGCACTCGTGTAATTTTAGCACTCAGAAGAGGCTAAGGCAGGAGGATAGCAAGCTAAGACTAGCCTGGGCTACCTAGTGAGACCCTATCTTTAAAAAAGAAAAGAAAAAAGATTCTCCTAAGAGTTGTACAGGCCAAAAACCTTGGGGACCAAATGACAAGTCTTTGTAAAGACCTAAAGGCCCTGCACACTGGTCTCCCACTGCATCCCTCACCCCATTTCTTGCCTCTTCCTCTTCCTTTATTTCTTTCCAACTTGCTGTCCTTCAAATGGTGTTTTATATTTCCTTTCTTACTTTTTTCTCCTTAGCACTTTTTACATTGTGTGTGTGTGTGTGTGTGTGTGTGTGTGTGTATGCATTCGTATACATGCCACAGTGCATGTGTGGAGGTCAGTAGAAAACTTGCAGGAATTGGAACCATGTGGATTCCAGAAATTGAACTCAGGTAGTTGGGGCTGGTGGCAAGTGCCCTTACCTACTGAGCGAAATCACTGACCCCTCCTTAGCACTTTTAAATAGCTTATGTCTCTAGATAATTTACTGTCTTTCTCATTTGAATATAAGCTCCAGGAGGAGAAGAGCCTTTGGTCTATGTTCTGTCAAATCCCCCAGCACCTAGCAGAGCTGCTTGAACCAGCATGAGCAATGGGGAGCTGGTTTTCTGGAGATTCAGTGCTCAAACATCAGCCATTTAACAACCTCTAGCTTGGCCTTGCCCACGTTTTGAGTGCTCAAGAAGTCCCTGCTGGGGCTGGAGAGATGGCTCAGCAGTTAAGAGCACTGGCTGCTCTTGTAGAGGACCCAGAACCTACATGGCAGCTAACAACTGTGTAACTCCAGTTCCAGATGATCCAACATCCCCTCCTGGCCTCTGCGGGCATTGCAGGATATGGATGCACTTACATACTTGTAAGCAAAGCACTCATACATATAAAATTAAAATAAATAAAAATTAAAAAAAAGAAGTCACCATTGATGGGTAGAGTGACAGGGAAATGGCCTGGTAGAAAAAGGGCAGAAGGAAGTAGGAAACAATGGCTGGAGCACTTTCTCCAGAGGCACAGGTGTTGGACTCTTCTAGGTAGGTAATGAAGCAGTCCTGTCATAGTGTGACATATGTGAGCATGGAAAAACTTAAAGAGCTTGTCACTGTGTTGGGCTGAGGACACTCTCACCCCTGGCCCAGGGTGGGTATGCTAGGCCTGAAAAGTCACGTGGCTAGGTTTCCAGCTTTTGTCCTCCAATGCCAGCTGTGGGCATAGAAACAAGGGTGTTGCTCATCTCTGCGGTCTGCCCTCAGCCTGGTGGGGTGCAAAGAGTGAACCCCTCAGCCCACTACTTTCTCCCTGATGCCCTTTCCTCCCAGGGTCACCTTTCAAAGTCTACAGAGTTGGAATAACCTAACTTTCAATTCCCCCTTCTTCTCTCTGCCACTGCGTTCCCTCCAGTCCTCCTAACCCCATCCCAGCAGGCAAAGCCCCCTAGACTCTCTGGGTTACATGATTTCCAATCACAGAGGTGTGAGAATGTAAAATCCCACAGCATGCCTTCACTTGGCCCCATGCCAACACCTTCATTCTTCAAATTGCTTTAAGTTATCGGTCAACAGATGTGGTCAAATCACACATCCTATTTCCAGCACAGAAATTGCCAGATACGGGGTGTCAAGCTTGTCTTGGGGGAACTACGGACTGAGGATGTGATGTAAATGATTCCAAACCAGCCTCTTTCCCCACCTCCCCAGTAGGAACTGGCAGGAGCCAGTCCTCACGTAAGGTTACTGACATCAGCAACACCCTCTGTCTACCCAGCCCAGCCCAGCCTCTTCATCTTACAGTCCCTTACTGATCACTGGTCTCTGCAATGAACCATTTGAGGACTGCCATTTTTGCAGAGTGGGAAAGGGGAAAATGGCTGAGTGGGAGGGGCTCAGGGCTGGCTTTGGGGATAGTATGAAATGGCAGAATCCCCCTATTTTTAAGGAATCACTGGAGGAAACACTGTGTACATATTGGCTTTATCGACTAATGCTGGAATGGCTGTTGCCACGGCAGCAGAGCATTCTCATTGCAGAAGAGGATGGTAGGGAAACTCAGGGGATGTGAAAGGAATCAAAATAGAATGAGACAGAGGTAGAAGTGGCATTAGGGAGCCTTGGAATATTCCAAGACACCAAGATAGTGTTTAAAGGGGCCACTGCCTGGTTATGACAAGACTCTTTTAAGAGTGACGGGGGAAGACTCGCTCTTAAAGAGCCTGTCACTGAGTTAATTCATGACATAGAGAGTGTACACAGAGAGTATCTTACATCTCAGAAAATGACAGGTAGTATGTTGTGGGTAAGGGAGTGGTACTCTAGGCTTAGATGGTGGGAAGGTATCTGTTCTCATAAGAACAGAAACCAACTTGATTTTAGCCAAAGGCTGAGAAGCAATCTTTCCTTTTTTCTGGACAGTCTTTTCTTTTCAAAAGAAGAATTTCAGGGGCTGTTTATTGAAGGAAGGAAAAATGACTTGGGATTTGGGGAATATGATATCCCATGAGAGGAGATACAGAGAAACAAAGAGATACAGAGAAGAGGAAGGACTAAGCTGACACAGAGGATCAAATGAGAGAATGAGACAACCAGGGAGGAAGGAAGGTCAGGTCCCGGGGGCAGTGGGCATCCGGAGCAAAGGAAATGCAGGTGGACAGAGCAACATGTGGGGTACGTTTCATAGTAACACTGAAGGCTCTAACCTACAAATATGGATACCAGAGATGAGGCGTCAAGTCAGGGGTTTTGCCTGCAACAGTAGACATGGGCTATGAACAGACATTGTGTAGTTCAGCCAGGATAGTAACCAGCCACTTTCCTTTGCTAAGGAGGAGGCAAAGTGATATTCTTATGTGATTGAATCAGGGAAATCTTGTATATTTTACAGAATGACAGACCAGTAAGGATAGGGACTTTAAAAATGATGGTTTATAATCCCAGCCATCAGGAAGCTGATACAGAAGGATCTCAAATTCTAGTTCAGCCTATGATACATAGTAAGACTCCATTAAAAAAAAAAAAAAAGACCAATGGCTTGTCACTATTACAAGTGACCTGTGGGATCAGGGAAGAACTTGATCTCTTATCTGAACTGGGAGCTTATGTTCAGGCATAAACATGAGTACTCGTGTGGCCCATGACTGGCCCCTGTGTCTGGTCACATTCTGGTAGGATACCACATATGTCCTTTAATGAGCTCCAAGTTGCTGTTTCCTCCATGGACTCTAAAGTCTTCGATCCAGTCTGGATGTAGGTCCCTGAGTATTGTCTGTCTTGTACCTCCACCCCAGGACCCACTGGTGAATCTCTGTACTCAAATTCTTTCCCCACGCCTTTGAGGCAGTGCCTCTTGTCATTCCTGTAATTAGAATACACACACCCTTTCTGTCTGCTTGTGATGAATGTATATGACTGCGTTTTTTTCACAGGGACAAGGGTATTATTTCCCCCAAGTCTTGTATTGTCTACCTTATACTCCCTGCCAGACATTGAGTTCCTTGAGGACAGACTATTTTTCTGGATCTCTAAGGTGAGCTAAAGGTCCATGGTTCCTACCAAACACCTTTCCGCTCAAGAATCTATGTTCTAAATTTTGTGATAGATATATCTTCTTTAAATTTTTAAAAATTAGTTAATCAATTAATTTTTACTTGAGGTGTATGAGTATTTTGCCTATGCCATGCAGTGCCCAGGGAGGCCAGAAGAGAGTGTTGGATCCTCAGGAACTAGAGGTGTGGGTGCTGGGAACTGAATCACCAGCATCTGCAAAAGCAGTCAGTGCTCTTAACTGCTGAGCCACCTCTCCAGCCCCTAGATACATCTTCTTTGCAATGCCTGTCCTTGAAGACTTTGATAATCTCTCCATCCCTGGGAGTATATAAGGTAGAATGCCTTGATCTACTGTCTGCACCCAGTGTCCAGCACCCAGGCCTCAGAGCCATTTAACATCACAGCTGCAACACCTGCTCTGGGCTAGTGTGAAAGACAGTTCTGCACCGGGAGAGTTCCAGTGCTGATAGGACTGACATGTCCAGGATCCTTTTAAATGGCTCTGCAGCCCCATTTCAACTTTGGCAGCCAAGTCCCCTCTGAGGTTTGGCACAGGGCTTTAGGGTTCCAAATCCCTTTCACCTAGAAAGCTGGCATTATAACCACTGTAAGAAAGACAGAGAGCAAGAGGGGTTCGCTTTGACAAGGCCATGTGATCAAGTGAAATGGGAACCCAGACTCCTGCTCCCGAGGGTTAGCCCCTTCCTCTTACACCTTTGGGCCTCCTTCTCTGTCAATCTTGGGCCCTGTCTCTCAAAACCACCCTGTCCTACACCATTTCCACTGCCTTCTGGGCTCAGGAGTGTAAACTGTGTCCTAGAGACTGGAGATAGGAATAGTTTCCCGTGTGGTTTGTGGAAGAGACAGGGAACGTCGCCCCAGGCTCTGCCAGTGTCTCCCCAGACCTCGCGGGGCCATTCTATCTCCTGTATGCAGAGATGCCCACTCTCAGTCTCTTTACCTGTGCACCCAAATCTCCTTCACTGATGCTTTCTCCTTGATGGCAAGGGACCACCCGCCCCACTTCTCCGCAGAAAGCCAGGAGAAAAAATGGTGGGATCCTTTCCGTGCCCCGGGGCTCAGCTCGCAGATACCTCCTCCTCTTGAGCTAGAAATAGACTCACTCTCTCCCCCACCTCCTTCCCCTCCTCCAGCTTGCTCCCCGCCTGCCCCTCCCCTCCTACTCGCTCGGAGCTGCAGCCCGCAGCCTCTCCTCCAGCTGAAGGGCGGAGTGCGGCGAGGGCGCTGCCCAGGAGTGCGCGGCTGGCAACATCAATCTGCCGCCTGGGGGGTCGGGATCCGGGCATCGCAGCCCCTCCCCGCTTTGATGGAACCGCGGGGCTTCCATCCTTTCTTGGACTGATTTAAAAATTTTAATTTATATTCTCCCGCCCCGCCCCTTTTCCTCCGACCCCGCCCCATCGCCCCGCTATTTCCTTGCTTTTTTCCTTCACCCCCCCCTCCCCCCGCTTACCTTCC